GACTGATTATGTTCAAATTTTATATATTCGTTATACATCATGTTATAGATACATGTATTCAAAATGGCTGATTCTATTTTAATTAATGCTGTTCCAGAGCAATATCTCTCAATATGGACAAGTACTTGTTTGACGATCAGATACAAATGTCAATCATTTTAATGTTAAACAATCATCATAATCATATTCCTGACATGGTTATATTCCAGCTATATTACTATATATATTACTTAAATTTGATAACTAATGGGGACTGTGCCATGCATGGCTTGTTTTTCATTGGTCAATCGCTTGACAATGAAACATAGTAGATGGAAGTGCATACTCTATTTTTGTTTTCAATTTCTCTCGCTAATGCCACTTACATGTAAGCCAAAAAATTTAATTGTGTCAGTAAAAATAGGATATTTAATATGTCATTCAACAGAAGAGGAAGAAGCTGATAAAGCCATAGAAAGAAAAAAAGAGGAGAGAGAAAGACAGAGAAAGAAAGCTGAAGCCGAATCTTTGAATCTAGAAGAAACTAAAGAACAGGTAACCAAGGTTATATAGGCAGACAAGTTGATATTCAAACAAAATAATTGGAAAAAATAAATCAGAATAAAAAGGAGGAACAGAATAGTGAATAATTTTCAAAACAATTGACAAGTGATTGTTTGCTGAGAATTCAACAGTATCTATAAATGCCAAAAGAACTGCTTGAATTTGATATTTCTGTCTGACCATGAGTGCACTATGGCCTAGCAAGTTGGGCATTCAATCTTGGTGATAAAAAACTTTTTGATTGATAAACTTCATATACAAATATGATATATCAACTATTTATCAATAAAATAAAATTACTGAACTAAATTTCAACTATCGTCTACATTGCATTGAATACAAAATTGTGACAAAAAGGCTGAAACTTTTTCTGCCCTCTTACAACAACATTGTGAAATTGCTTTGTTTTGTTGTTTGTTCAAGGGCGACACATATTACAAATTAGGTTTGGAACACTGAATGTTGACAATTTATTATTTATTTTATTTCAATCCCTAATTCCTGTCCTTAAACCTGAGCCACTTGATCCATAATTATCAAAGAATAACTTACCATGATGTCATAGTTTGTTTACATGTGCACAACAAAATGTGTGGCCATCATTGTATTCTCTTGTTTACTATTTCATTGATTTGGACTTCTCAGGGCATTTCCATGCTTAGACAATCTGAGTGAAGGTTTTTTTAAATTAATAAGGCATTGTGACGTGTGTTCATCAAAAAGTATTTGGTATGTACCGTAAAATCTGTATTAGAAGCCGCATCCCTAATAGAAGTCGCACCCATTCTTTTATTTGAGAACCAAAAATTCATTATTTCTCGTATGTGTAGATGCTCTAATAGAAGCCGCATCCCCTCTGTTGCATTGCATCATTTTAATAGAAGCTACGGTTTCTAATACAGATTTTACAGTGTATTTCGCAAAATTTTGCCACATGTTGTTACATGAGCTCATTAAAGTATAGCAAACCACATGAGGACACTGCATCAGAGGCAAAAGCCGCTAGCAACATCACTCTAGGTTTTGTTTATGTATAACTGTGAAATAAGGGAGTGCGCATGCGTGAGTAGTAGAAACATCGGTACCGATCTGCTCCACCAAAATAAGGAAAAATTCTATCGAAAACCTCATCAACCAGAAAAATTTAATACACCATGGCAAGTAATAAGACCAGCTACAAGAACAAAGATAGAAGAGTAGACTAAATGATATCAGGA